TTTTGTTACTTGAACCTATTTGGTCTAAGAGATATTATAACGTGCGGAGTCCAGATGAGTTTAGAGGTCAATTCAAAAACGTCACGTCACACAATGCACAATGTATTAAGTGACTGGGCATCTGAATTGACCTCCGAATACTTCTAGACTCCGCACGTAATAATTTTTCTTAGTCTGAGTTCTGCTATCTGAATCTATTAGCTTCATGTGACAACCTTACATAAGCAAGTATACTGATTGATTTGAAGGAATTATAAGAAATGAAATGAAAAAAAAAATTATAAGTGATAAAAATATTAATTGAATATTATTTCTCTCCATTTATCTAATTGAGTGAAAAGTCATGAAATAAGTTGTGTTATGATATTTTAATTAAATAAAAATTATAATAAATTTAAATTTATTGCATTTTATTCAAAAATATGTATATAATTTATGAAAGCATTATTAAAATTTAAAATACATTTATTTAAGAATTTTGAATTTTTATTAACCAAAAATTAGATCATGATATTTCAAATCATTTTTTTACCCAAAAGTTAAGGAAAACTTTATTAATTTATTACAAAATGACAGCATATGATGTGACAATTTTTTCTTCATAATTTACACTGTAATAAAAAAATGTTTATGATAAAAAGTTTTTGTAGATATTTCTTATGCAAATTTATTTTCTTATGATTTACATCGAAATCAAAGATTTAATATAAAGTTACAAAACAAAATATTCCCTCCAATTTTATTATTTATCCCAGTACTAATCAACTATTTATCGTGCCTTTCGTGTTTCTTTGAGTCAAAACTGAACTTTTCAACCTGTTTAATAAACAGGTTGCTTAGCCGTCTAATTCAAACGAGAAATTTTAAGAAATTAATTAATTAGTTTTATATTACATTAATTTTAAAATAAAGTCAATAACTTATAATAATAATAAAAGATTTCGTAAATATCTGAAATTAATTATTTTCCTTATTCGAAAGTCCACTATACCAATATCCATATGTGTGGTGGGCCCAAGGTGCAGGAAAGGCTACATGGACGGCTACCAATACCGTCAGTTAATTACGATGGGGGCTGCCTCGTTGGAGGCGCGTCACCGGCGAGTCGGCGGCCGTTATGGTGGCACGTTTTCTTACTTCAGTCGTCGGAAAAGGCGGCCCGCCAACACCAACTCGTCCCCGTCGAAAACCGGTCAGGAAGCGAGCAAACCACCCCCACTAAGACCCTGAAATGACGGATTTGCCCAAGCAGCTTAGTTAGCAGTTAATGACACTGTAACGGGAATGAAACGGAACGGTGAACACGTGTCCGTTAACGGTGAATGGGGTTCCAACGCGGGAAGTATATATAAAATACAAGCGGAAGATACAGAGAGGAAGTGGCCAAAGGTAGAGCGAAGCTTAGGGAGAGAGAGAGAGAGAGGAGACAAATGGATGCGGTGGATCGTCTCTGCTCGTGCTATCTCCTCTTTTTCTGTCTTCTGATCTCAGGTGCGAATCTTCTTTTCCTTTTAAGGAATTTCAGTTATGGAAGAGATGATCCGATTGTATTGTTTTGTGCGTTTTCTTTTTCGTGTTTGGAATTGGGATTGGATTGGCGTTATTTGATATGGTTTTCTTGATTTGGATGTTGTTTAACGGTTTAGATTTGGATTTAGTGATGATAGATTGGGTCAGCCGATGATGGTTCTTCTTGTTCTTTCCTTAATAGCTGGAATTGAGAATTCGAAGCTTGGATGATTTGATCGGCTTTTTCTAGAGATTAATTAAGGGTCGAATTTCTAGTTTCTGAGGAGATGAGGATTGAGTGGGGGGGAAAGCTTTGCAGGTGCGTCGTAGAAATTAATTCGTTATAGTCTTGCTTATCGTTTTTGTTTTAATTGCTGTTTATGAACAGTAAATTTTTTGCTTGGCGGTTTGGTCATATGATGTGGTTTTGGATTTAAGAAATATCTATTTTCAGGAGCATACGACGTGCTGAATTTCCAGGGCAATACGTGCGCTTATTGTACTCCAGAAACTTCCCACTTGTTCTGTTCAGCAATGTTAATGTAGAATTGAATATGTTTATTATTTTATTATTGTCAATCTCTTGTACCCTAGAGGAATGAAGTTTTTTTAAAGCGCATGGAAGTTTAGTTGGCAATATAATATGAATCACTGCTGCAGAGGTATTAAAGAGTGGAATTCCTTAAATGCCAAAATATTTGTAAAGATTTTTCAGCAGATGCTATTGTTTTTATCCCTTTCCATTGTTTTTCGATCCATTTTGTTCAATATTGGAGCCTGACAGTTCTGTTTGCTTATCTATTGTAGGAGTTTCTATATTTGGGAGCATAAAACTATAAGTTCTTCGTTGTTTTTTACTTTTAAAATGGATAAATTGACTATTCACGCAAGTCCTTTATCTGATAGCTTTATTTGTTTGACGTTAAGGTGAAACTATTAGAGACTCTGTTTTCATCAACGGCAGCAGTCCTATCGCAATTATCTTAGTTTGGATCTTGAGCCAATTACCCCCATTAGAGCTTACAACGGCCTGTTTCCAGGCGTTAAGATTAGTGTTTGATCAATTAAGCTTATTTGAATCTTTAGTAATACTACTCTTCATGGTCAAACCTGTCAGATAAATTCCATATATTTGATTTTTGCTGGCAATCTAGAGCTTCTCAATGAATGGGATCCACCCAATATGTAAGTATAAATAAAAATAAGATTAAAATTTGGCTGAATGCACCATTAGTCAAAACTTGTTCAACACGAACAGTTAGGTTTATGAATGAAAGTCAACTATTTGGTATTCATATAGCATCATATTTTCCAACTATCTAATATAGAATTATATTCAATACTTGTGGGCCTTAACCAGCCAAGATCAACTATCGAAGTTGTTGGTATTGGTCTACCAAAACAACAATAAGTTCCTAAACCTAATATGTTGCATGTTTTTTTTTTTTTTGCATTTTTAAATTTTAGTAGTAGAAAATGTAGTTGAAAGTTAGTTAAATTTAGTTGGAGGTTGTTTAAAGTTAGTTGGAAGGTTGTTGGGATGAAGTTTGTTGACCATACTCATCCAAGTTTCATATGGTCAGCCTTAAGTTCAAATCCAAAGTTATTATACATTTCGAAAGCAAGATAATAGTTTAATCTACAAGTTTAGCTCCTTTCTAGACTTTTCAATGTAAGTTACTACAAATCTCATGTATGTTTGCTTTATTTTAGAATTTCTTTAAATTGAATAATTTTTTGTTCTTGTTTGATGCATCTTTCTACCCTTCTCTGTATTTTTGTTGAGCATAATCTAACATTCTGGATAGTAACTAAAAATATTCTAAAATATAACCTGTGAAAAGCTTCTAAAATTTCAACAACACAATATGTATCGAACAATGACCAAAGAAAAAAAAAATTTGCTTTTCAGGTTCAGTGCACCAAACAATTAGCATTGGAGTTGGAATCAACTATGGGCAGATTGCTAACGATCTTCCTCCACCTACACGAGTAGCTACCCTTCTTAGATCCCTAAACATCAGCAGAATTAAACTCTACGATGCTGATCAGAATGTCCTAAGTGCCTTCCTCAACTCCAATGTTGAGTTCATCATTGGAATAGGAAATGAGAATGTTCAGAGCATGATGGACGTCACCCAAGCTCAGGCCTGGCTTCAACAGTTCGTCGAGCCCTACATTCCGAATGCTCGAATCGCTTGCATCACTGTAGGAAATGAGGTCTACTCAAGCAATGACACCACCTTGATGGCCAATCTCCTGCCTGCTATGCAGTCAGTGTACCAAGCCCTGATCTCCATTGGCTTAGACAAACAAATAAAGGTCACCACTGCACATTCTCTCAATATCTTATCAAACTCCTTTCCTCCTTCCTCTGGTTCTTTTCGTGGAGATCTTGCTCAGTACATCCAGCCCCTCCTCAATTTCCATGTCATGGCCAACTCTCCATTCCTCATAAATGCCTATCCTTACTTTGCTTACAAAGATAATCCAAACTCCATCTCATTACAATATGTTCTCTTCGAACCGAATCCGGGAGTCATTGATCCAAACACCAACCTGAAATATGATAACATGCTCTATGCTCAGATTGACTCAGTTTATTCTGCAATCAAGGCAATGGGCCACACCGATGTCGATGTACGAATTTCGGAGACCGGATGGCCATCCAAAGGGGATCCAACTGAGTTTGGGGCCACCCCAGAGAATGCTGCTGCTTATAATGGTAATTTGTTGCAGAGAATATCAATGAATCAAGGCACGCCATTGATGCCATCGGTGCCCATCGACATCCATGTTTTTGCTTTATTCAATGAGAATTTAAAGCCGGGACCAACTTCTGAGAGAAACTATGGACTTTTCTATCCTGATGGCACCCCGGTTTACAACATTGGGCTGAAGACTGGCCACCTTTCAGGAATTTCAAACTCACCAGCTTCAAAGCATTTGGTAAGAATCTGGAGCCTCACTTTTGTTTTTCTCAATAGTTTTTTTTTTCCTTCTTAAGAGAATCAAGTTGGTCCATTTAATAATCTTTAAAAGGAAGGTTTTGTGCTTAACAGATCATGAATCACGCCTAGTGGGTGGCTGAAGGGAATATCTTTTCCTTCTGCTTTCATTTCCAATGATATTAAGGCTCCGTTTGGGACGGCTTTTTTACTGCTTCTTAAAGCAGCTTTTTAGTACTAAAAAACTGCTTCAAAAGCTGTCCCAAACAAAGCCTAAATGGCAATCAACTTGAATTACCTCATCAGCTAAATTGCAAGTTATTTGTCACTTATCTAAAGTGCTTTTGCTGTTCTCTTGCAGATCATAGCAGGCTTCTTTTTTTCACTCATCACAGCATTATTTTCTGCTTTGATACTATACAGTGACAGATGAAAAATTGCCTCCCAAAATATCTATCGTATGAAGGGAGAGCCGTTGCTACTGCAAAACTTGGCTTCGTCTTCATTTTGTTCACAGTTAGGTATGTTAATTTGATCTCTCCTTTGTCTTTTTCCACAATCTTCATTTATTAATATTGAAAATCACTGCAGAAAACATTGACTATCGCCCTATTAAACCATTTTTAATCCCATTAACTCCCCATACTTTTCTTTGTCTCAATCATTCTTATTCATCTCTGATACAGATATGCGTCATGGGCAGGTAACACCCTGACTGCATATCCAAGAAAAAAATATAATGAATATCTTATCCCTTCGTAGATATTCTCATTCCCATTGGTAGTCTTAATTAGTGCATGCTTTTCTTTTTCTCTCTTTTATTGTCCCTCTCGTTTTCTTAATGACTTTCTGTCGCTTTTAGGCTATAACGCTAGATCGTCTTAGAAAAATATATAGATCAGATGCCTTCAATTAATGCGTAATTTCCTCTTATTAGGTTCAGCTTTGTAGTCTCTGAGTTAGTTTTCAACTTATTAAGGAGTCTTGATACGTTTTAGGATTCATTTGAGTCGAGAAATTATTCTCTTTGGAGATCGGAAGCCTGTTCGGAGACCAAACAGAATGTGCCACGTTAGCTGTACCGAGCCGCGGTACCAAGCAAAGGGTGATATGGCATATTCTGGTTGGTCTCCGGACGGCATTTTGTTTCCGTACATAACAATCAATCATTTGGGACTGCTTTCTTCCTACATTTTAAAGTAATTTTTGTTCTATAAAGCCACTGTAAGAAACAGTAAGAAAGCTGTTTCAAATTAAGCCTTTGTTTTGTAGGAATTTTTGACACGTTTTTCAACATACATTAGCATGATTATGAATATTGAACATATGATTTCTCATATTTTATTTAGAAGTCTTATGGTAAGTTGCCAATTATGATTTTTAGTCGTATTATTTATAAAAAATGAATTGTAAATTTGGTCATAATTAAGAAATTGTTGTTTAGGGTTCTATAAATTTTCAAAAAAAATATTTATTTTTCAATCGGAAAAAAGAAAAAAATATGTATATATATTCTTGTGATAGGTCTCATGCTCATAAAAATTATTATATTTATTTTATCAGATTCGGAAGGTGGAGATCCATGAAGCTGTGGAGTTTTAAGATGCAAGATGATTTTAGGGAGGGAGCATGTAAATGACAAAAATAGGAGAGCGAATTAGACGAAACGATTCAATATTCTTTTCTGAACAAAATACATGTAATTTGTAGCTAACATTTGTTATTTTTTAAAATTCTTATTATTTAGAATATTGAGTGTCAAAATACATATTTAATGAAGGCAAAATTTAATCTACAACAATTTAAAATTTTCTGATCCAGGCTTCATTTGAAACAGTTTTTTACACTGTTTTAAAAAGCAATTTTTTAATTTTTTTTAAACAATAAAAAAATAGTCATCAGTAGCTACATAAAATTTTGACTCAAAAATTATTTTTCAAAGAGCATACAACAATAACATCAAGCCATTATCCCATTTCATAAAATCTTCTACATAAAAATAAATAAATAAATAAATAAAAGAAAATAAAAAATAAGATCAGCTACATAAAACCTTTTTTTGTTAACGAGAATTTAACTTTAAACATAACACAATGAAAAAAAAGAATTCATATAGCCAATCCCACATCTTGATGTTGTTGTATCCTATTAAGAATCAAATTCCTCATATACATGTCAAATATTATTATTATTATTATTATTATTATTATTATTATTATTTTATATACATGCTTACTACCATCCAAATGTGAGTTTTTTTAGCATCATTTGTTGATTGATTTATTATGTTCCCATTCCAAGCTATTTACTATCCCACTGTTTCTTTCTTGGAGCGTTGGATTTGTGATTATGTGAGGTTTCTTAGGTATTTCAATCCTCTTCCATATCAGGTTGAAAGATGGATGGAAAAAGTTGAAGAAGCTGAAGCCAAACTCAGGTTCTCAATTAAAACATGTATAATTGCAGTTAGTTTGATGGTAGGCCCTACGATTCACTTTGTTAAGATCAAGTCTCTATCTTTTTATAATTAAGTACATGACTAATGAATCCTATTTTGTTAGGTTGGTTTTTTGTGGTACGAGTACATTTACAAACTAGATAAAGTTAGTTACAATAAGTATCATCCCTATACGTCATGGATCCCAATCACGTAAGTACAGAGTTTATTCAAGAAAAAATGTCCCTTTAATTCAAATTGGTACTGTTTCTCAACTAATACCTCCTTTTATTATGTTTTTTAGTGTTTATATTTGCTTGCGAAATGCAACCCAGCAGTTGCGAAATTATTCCTTGACTCTTTTTGCGTAAGCCAAATCTTCTGGACAATTATTGCCATTTTTCTTGAGTTTTCATTTTATATCAATATGCAATCATCCTTGTTTCATTATTTTATTTCTACTGCTTAGGTGGCTTGGCAAGATCACGCTTGAGACATATATCTCTCAGATCCATATTTGGCTTCGGTGAGAATGGAGTTTGACATTTATAAAATGTTTTTTTTTTCTTTTTATCTAATTCTAATCAAATAGCTTCTTTAACTAACGTGTTTTCTCTAATAAAATAAACAACTGAGTCATCGTATCATTTTTTGGTTATAAGCAAACAATGAATATATGAGTTTGGTTTTCTTTAGGAATAATTTTTGTCTTCTATTCTGATATAAATTGTGTTAGAACTGATTTGATCATTTATTTTAAAATTAATGCAATTTAAAATTTTCATATACAACACTATTCTTCATACAACAACAACAACATCAAGCCTTTATCCCACTACGTGGGGTCGGCTACATGAATCCTTTTTCTTCATTGTGTCCTATTAAAAGTCAAATTCTCGTTTAAATCTAATAAAGAAAGGTCATTCCTAATATTTTCTAACCAAGTCTTTTTAGGTCTATCCCTACCTTTCTTAACATAAGTCAAATCTAATACCTCTACTCTCTTAACTGGGTCGTCGGAAGGCCGCCTTTTTATGTGACCAAACCATCTAAGGCGACTTTCTCTAATCTTATCTTCTACTGGAGCTACTCCAACCTTTTCACGTATATGCTCATTTCGTATCCTATCTCTAAGGGTAAAGCCACTCATCCACCTGAGCATCCTCATCTCTGCCACACTTAACTTAGTATTCTGCTTCTCTTTTAAAGGCCAACATTCGGCACCATAAAGCATTGCAGGCCTCACTACCATCTTATAGAATTTTCCCTTAAGTTTGAGGGGTACATTTCTATCACATAACAAGCCCGATGCATTCCTCCACTTCAACCATCCAACTTGAATTCTGCTGATAATATCCCCATCTATTTCACCATCACTCTGAACAATAGATCCAAGATATCTAAAACGTGTACTCTTATTAATGACTTGATCGCCCAAAGTCACAATCCCCTCACTAGGTCTATTACTGCTAAAATTACACTCCATATATTCTGTTTTAGATCTACTCAAGCGAAAACCTTTAGACTCTAAGGTTGACCTCCATAATTCAAGTTTACCTTCAACTCCCTCTCTAGTCTTGTCAACAAGAAGAATATCATCAGCAAAAAGCATACACCATGGTACATCCTCTTGCAAATGTCTAGTGAGAACATCCATGACTAAAGCAAAAAGATATGGGCTTAAGGCTGATCCTTGATGTAACCCAACCGAAATAGGGTAATTCATGTCATTATTGTTCGACAAGTTTTACGCTGGCTGTCGACTACCTAACGTAACCCTCCACTTTTCTCATCCAGGACTTGGGACCTGGCAACGGCAGTGTTAAATATTTGATCATTTGGACAAATTTCAAAATCATTTAGATAAATCTTGTAAGTTGGAGCATGTTGCCATGTCTCTTTGTTGAATAAATTTGAGCATTTTTTGACTTTTTTACATTAATCTCTTTAGTTTGAGTTGATATTAGATTCCACAAACCTAAATCCAAAGAAATGACAGACACTCTAAATGATCAAATTGGTTCAAATTTAATGACTGGATAAACTAAATTAAACAAGTAAAATAATCTAGAGCTAAAATGAATGCATCTAAAAAATATTGAGACCATTTTGATCACTAACTTCAAATAGAAAAAAAAAAAAAAAAAAAAAGGTTCGTTCAAACTTACTTTTCTTCTAAGACTTGAATCTGGCAACTCGAGAGCTGTAGCTCGTTGTCTCCTCGCAAGATTTCTGTTTTCTATAGCAGAATTTTTCCTGCTTAAAAAGAACCATCGGAACAATGGTATTGCAAAGAATGAGGCAGCATAAACCTGCAGAAAGCTTACCAAGCTGTCAATATATACGATTTGGCTTGTGAGAATTTCTTTTCTCTATATGAATATGCATGGAAAATAAAGGACCCTTACCTGGAGGAGAGGAAATATATCAGAAACAAAAGAAATGAAACCTGAAGGTGAAACTGTGGTATTCCTATAATATGAAATTCAAGTGTCAGGTTGCAAATATAGAAGAAAATATGAAAGTAGAAAGGAGAGAGAGAGAGAAGGACAAGTACTTCAACATGCTTCCCAGAACAATTACACCAAATAGATTGAGTGAGCCCAAGCCTATAACCATTGCTCTCTCAGATGCACTTGTCTTGCTGCAGTTAAGGCAAGTTCATGAGACAATTGCTCATAACACAAGATGAAGATATGATAATAGGACTATCCCAACCACATGTAAACTAGGGGAAATTATTAGGTGCGGACACCGGACTTAGAGATGCGTCCGGATTACTGGATGCACTGCGTGCGCTCTGCTCACACTCTACGTACGTTCTACTTACACTCTGCGTATTTGTAGATACACATCAAATAAGAAGCAAATCCTCACAATTAAATATTTGCTGCTTATTTACTGCAATACATAGTATATACTTAGTAAATACACAGAGCGTAGGCAGAGCTTAAGCATACAATACGCAGTATCTGGACGCATCTTTAGGTCCGGTGTCCGAACCTAATAATTTCCCGTAAACGTAAACTAGAGCAAGCCACTAAACAAGGCTGCAAGGTATCAAAAATCAGACAACACATCGAATAATGATCAAAGATCCAGAACAAAAAGCTTTGCATGCTCAAATAGATGTAACTAGCAAGAAACACATATTCAGAAAGGAATAAGCACACGTTTTTTAATTAAATCATTCTGTTTAAAATAGATGCTTCTTGGAGACAAAAGATGAAAGATAGCAAAATCAAGAACATGCAAAAGCTAGATCATATAAAAACAGGGATGTTTACAGCAGACATTATCGTGCTCATAATTATGATTCAACAGCATGATAAACATATTAAATAAGCCAAATTAGGCTTTGCGGTGTTAACTCAATCAAGCTAAAAGCTGGCTTGAACTCAACTTGATAAATGGGTTCATGAGCGCGTTAATGAGGTAAAGAATCAAGCTTGAGCTAGCCCCGATTCAACTCGTTAGCTCATGTGATGACTCTTTTAAAATATTTTAATACAAAAAACATTTAAAATATATTAAAATTTAATAGTTTAGTATCAAATTGTTAAATAAATTTAAAAGATATATCTCTTTTTTATTCCAAAGTGATTTCTTATTAATTCTCATTTATTTTTTTCTATTCTTTTTATCCTGCTATTAAAATAACTGCTTGAATAAGAATACTTACATATGCTTTTGCATTTAACAATAAAAAAAAAATTGCTTGAATAAGAATGCTCCTCTCTTTTACAGTAAATGAGCCGGCTCAAGAGTCAACTCAATTTCTTAAAAGTAAGTTTGAGCTCGAGCTCGAGCTTAAAGTAAATTAATTAATAAAGCTAAAGTTCAAATTAGAGGTGACTCAAACTAAATTAATCAATCAAGATAAAGTTCAAGTCAATGGTGGCTCAAGTTCGACTTGAGACTTGTTTACACTCCCATAACTAAAGTTTCATGTCTCCAATTATCCTCATTTGCAATACTGAGACATAAATAAGGCGAGGCTGATAGTCCAAAAAACAAATGAGCTATTCCAATAACAAAAAAAGGCTCAGTAATAAGCTTGCATGCCCAATGCTGGCGGCAATTAAGGAATTTGCTATATTTAAGAAATTAATAGTCCTCAAAAGTTATAGTAGAATACTATCAAGCATAGGCAACCCTGCGTAGCTCAAAACTGTAGACCAAATGGGAATGCAATAGGCGCATGACTATTCCTGCTTCAAAATATCATAGCTTCTTGGTATCATGAAAATAGTTTATTTTCTACTAAGAGCCACAAGTTTCATTAGTGGAGGAGCTCTTCAAAAAAGAGTAGACTAGGTAGGTAACAAAAACAAAATAGGGTCATATATATAAAATGAATTTTGTTCTTAGATCCGGGAACATTCCAAAACTTGGATTAGACTATGATCATAATGAACATGCAGGTTTCAAGAATGAGGCATGGCTTGATGTGATCGCAAACCAAATGGAGCATAGATTGGATCGAACTTTATTGAAATTAGAAACAAGTATAAAGTCATGCGTATCTGCAAGTTTACATGCACGCATTATGCTGCATGCAAGATATATATATATATATATATATATATATATATTCAGGGCTTAAGAGCACAACAAATGGAGTATTGATTACAAAATCAGTTGTATTATGCTGTGATATAGCATGTTTTAGGGTTTAGAGTCTCCTAATGAGACCATATGATGTAACGCACAAAAATGACACATGAAATAAAAGTTCACAAATCATCAACTATGTGGGCTCCGAAAATAAAGAGGCACCCTGACCTCGCCTCTTTCGGAGGAGTTTTAACGGATTAAGTTCTAAAGTAAATTTTCAGAAGGAAAATTTTGTCTGAAATAAGACACCACCCAGATATTTCGCCCTCATTTTATTAGGAATTTATGATTTGAGTTCTAGTTTCTTATAGGCATAAGCCCCTATAGTTAATTACCTCTCCCGAAAATGAGAGAGAACTTATGATTAAGGCTAGTCGTTAAATAGATACATAGTATTTGGCATATAGTAGCAGTAGAATTAGATATTAAAAATTGAAATTTATCACTGCGCACTTAAAGCGGATGGTGAGGGGTGAACCCGATCAAGATCCTATGGTAGTTAACCCAACCTGACCGAATGATCCTGTCGGCAGCCACGGATTGCTTCGTCCAAGAGAACCTTGTAGACTTGGGGTAGATATTTGACTAAGAGAACATATTTGAGTCCACCTTAGCTAATAAAGGGCTTTATGCCCTATCGGTCATACCCTATTGATTAATTGCTCAATGATTTAAATCCATTGGGGGACATAAGGGATCTGGCCATGAACGTAATTTAGTGGTGCCATTTGGCGGCAAACCACCCGGTTCAGAGGGCCCCAGTCATAACTGTTTACCTTCGGTGTCATTTGGCGTCGAAACCACAAGTTAGATGACATGTGCCACATCCCTATTGGCAAGAGATGATTTGAGAATAAATCTTAGTGAAATTCTTGACTAGTCATTCACTTTTTGCAAGCTGAAGTAATTTTCAAACTTTTCCATCTCGACAAACAATTGTGGAGTGTGGATAAGTTTTCACTTTAAGTTTAGGTGATTAATTTTTAAGGATTTTTACATAAATAACACTTGAAACTATTGAAAATACATATTCATCACTCAAAAAGTTATATTTACTGATATACCACATAAAATCTCCATTTTCCTCAATTTAACCACTCCGTTTAAGCCCCGTTAGAAATCCCGACTCACGTCATCTTTTGTTCCTTCGCGCGAAGGAAATCGAATCCTTCTCCACCAGCGATCGCCGCTGTCCTTATCCCTCACCGTCGCGAAGACGATTGGGTATTCTCCCTCGCCGCCAGCCACTTCCAGCTCCGCCGCTAGCCTTGCCTTATAGACAATCATAAATAGATTGAAATTTGGAAATGTTTGGGGAATAATTTACCATCAAAATAAAGAGAGCCATCTGAGTGGAACCCAATTGATCCACAATTAGTTCCTGGCATAGAATGGATTGGCAGGGTGGCATTGCAGGTTAGCCCCAAGGTAAAGGTGATGCGGTCGGGTCTTCTTTCTGCTGCTGCAAAATTTGACTTTAGGGGAGCAAAGCTAACGCTGAAGGAATTATCTCTGATTAGTTTGGCTCGATCACAGTCACAATTGTACGCGGTTTTTTTTTTTGGACTTGGAATAAGCCTGTCGGATTACATGAGCTCCGACAAACTAGTGGGGAGCTCCCAGTCGCCTTCCGACAAGTTCGCCTAGGTTCTGCCATCGTATGTGACGTAGAGAGTCCAAATTGGGGTTGAAGATAACATGCGAGGGATGGATTTAGAAAAGGCAAAGCTTTGCTAGCCGTTCTCTATGGCCTCAGCGATAAGGCGGGGATGGTTGTCCCAACGGAAGGTGTTGTCCGTCACCGGCGGAGGGGCTATAGATTGGTTGTGGATATGGTGGAAGCGTGGGCTATTGTGGGCGGAGTTGGCAGGGACGTTCCTTCGCGTGAATGAACGGAAGACGACTCAAGGCAAGATTTCTGACGGGAACTAAACGGAGTGGTAAAATTGATGAAAAGAGGGATTTTAGGTTGTATATTAGTAAATACAATAGTTTGAGTGTTGAATATGTATTTTTAATAGTTTCAAATGTTATGTATGTAAAAATACCTAAATTTTAATTGAATATTTTTAATTTTCGAATGGTATAGATTTGAAATTTTTATTTAAACTTGAGCCCCAAATTATTAACTTTGAGATTTGGGGCATTTCTTTGAAATTCGTGTGAACCCCACAGTTGCTACCATCATCGAGGTGAGTTTGAAATCACTTTAAATATTCATATTTTAATGAGTTTGAGAGACATTTTGAATATTTAGAATTGACACATCCGGTCGAGATCTAAATTCAACACGATCATCATCGAGGTGATTTCCAGATCACTTTAACTTTTCGTATTTTTATGAGTTTTAGAGACATTTAAAATATTTAGAATTGAACATCCGATTAAGATCTACGTTTAACACGGTCATCATCGAGGTAATTGGGTAATTTCATTTTATTATTTGAACCTTATCGACTCTATTTGATTGCCAACAAAGGATCGGGTTCAATTCCTTATTTTAGAGTTATGATATACATATCAGAACCGAGAGCATGTATTTTGATGAATAAGTTTTCTTTAAAAAAGACATGAAAGGTTTAATATGAACGTATAAAATTCAAATATTACGAATGATTCAACGAGCAACGATGCCAGGATTTTATGTTTTCAGTCGTGAATATTTCTTGTGATAGACCTTGCAGGTTTAATATTAATGTATAAAACAAAATACTCTCGTCAGTGCTACGACCGTGTATTTGTTCGGTTGTTCAAGTCGTGTAAACTCTAATACATTCAAAGAGGAGGATCGGACTTGATCCTAAGTTCACTTTTGACATGCGCAACATTCTCATGCAAGGGTTTAGGAGTATAACACACCTGTCGGAGCACACGCGGGAATTTATTTTTAAGTGCATATTGCACAATCACACTTACATATGTGTATTTGTATTAATATTAGTGTATGTTTACATGCTTTAAAACTTATTACTTTTCAATCTGCGCAGCATCCTCAAACGTCACGTGTATGTGTCACGCTCATTGAGGCCCATGTGGTAGCATACTTTTCAGTGCATCTTGTATTTTGCATTGCTGTGTTGTGTGGCATCTACGCTTGCTACATCTATATGTTGTATAGTACATGCACATAATATATTTGCATGCAATATAGAACATGCATATGGTGTATCTGAGTATGGGACAATTCATATGCTTGATTTATTTGCATGCTTATATGCATATTTGTATATTTGCATGTGCATTTGCATGATCAACATAATGCACTTGGAGGATTGATATGATGTAAATATAAGTGATGCACATAATATATTTATTTGACAAACATAATGTGTCTACATGATGATTTGTATGCTTTTAGAAAATGCATAATATATTTGTAAGGTATATTGACACAATGCACATACACAAATAAATAGTGCATTTATATGATTGGTATGTTGCATCATGTGCTTACACAATACTCAATGCATTTTATGCTTGTTTAGTATGCATGCATGTTAACTTTACATGGTTGTTGGTATATTTGCATGATCAATGGTATGCATATATATTATGCAGTGCGTCCGTGTGATTAGTAGTATATATACATGCCGCTTAATATATTTGCATCATGTGTATGCGTGTTCTTGGTATATACGCATTATGCAATAGGGGCTCATAGGCGACACTCTCTTTCAGTGATTTGGCGTGATGTGTACACTTTAATTAGGGATCGTACAACCCGTGACACATAACATTGCGCTATTTTATTTCTTTTTTAAGACAGACATTTACGGGACGTACGGGCATCCTAACTTTAACAACTGGAGTGCACGCTACCTAAAGCATTTGTGCATCCGTGACTTGCAATGTGATTGACGTTTCTCATTTCATTATGAAATGTTTAAACCAGAATAATTATAGGGGATATGCAAGGATTCCTACGTGCTAACAATTAATGTAAATACATTTTCATAGGAAAAATAAATAATTTTTACTTTTACCCCTTCCCTTTTTATGATAAGTATCATCTGTATTCAGGTGCATTTACACTCATATTTCACCCGTTGGTGAATACTCGAGAAATCCAAATCAGAGCCTCGAAATGACATATTAACATATTTTAAATATGGATCCTAAGCTGGTAGAGCCCACAAGCGTAACTTCCCTGTCTTTTAGCAAAAGCATCTAGGCTAGCGGGACCTGCAAATAATTTATGTTATAAATAGGAGGGAGGCTGGGTTCATTTTTTTCACACATCATTTCTACCAGAAGTGTTGTTGGGGAGTTTAGGCGTGTGTAAGTCAAGTGCTAAGAGAAAGAAATTTGATTCTTACCTATTGGTGAACAACTAATTCCCCTACAAGTTCACTATAAGTTGTATTCAATTATGTTATTTTTTTTATTGACTTAGAGAATTTAAAAAAAAAAATTTCTTAAGTCATAAGTTTTGTTGAAAAATTTTGGTAGCACCCCGACGTCGTCCCCGCGTAGGAGGTTGCATTGGGGGTGTGTAAAGCCTTCCCACCTGCTAAGAAAGATAGTCACAGTAGGCTTCGGATGACACCGCGATCACAGTTTTGTTTCCCGCTCACTAATAAAAGCGGTCATGAGATCTTCGTATACCCGTTTAAAACACAACATTTCTCTGTCTGCTAAGAAAAGCAATAACTGATACTTAATTTTCTTTTTATATATAATAAATTTCCTTGCTTGCTAATAAAAGCAGTCACAAATACTTATATTTTATGCAAACAAATTTTCTCATGCGCTAATAAAAACAGTCATGGATACTTATGTTTCCTCGCTCACTAATAAAAGCGATCACGAGTACATATTTCATGCATATAAATTGTGAAATACTAGTATAGGGTTTATACCTTAGGTGCACGGTGACCGAGGCGAGAATGACAGACCGCGATGGCGACGAAAAACCTGCGATGCACAATGTAATTTTTTTGTTATTACTTATTTATTTAATTTTATATATATATTAAATTAAGGTCTAGAGAGAAAAAAAGAGAGGGCTTTGGAGGAAGAGGTGTAGAATGTGCATAGAAATACGGTAGTGATGAAGCGAGAGTTTTAGAGAGGGAAAAACACTTCTTATTCTCTAATTTTAGAGGGAGAAAGAGAGGAATTTTTTCTCTCTAAATTGAGGAGAAAATATGAATGGGATTGGGAGGATGTGTAGGAGATGTTGTATGAGGCATTTAAAGGAAAATTGTATGAGAATTTTCTCTTTCTAGAGATAAAATTTTCTCTCTAGGCTAGAGAAAGAAAGTGGGGGATGAGAGAGTTTTTTGGTGGATGAAGTGTATGATGTATAGGGGAATGTTTTTTGGTGAAGGGAGGTTGGTGGTTTGAGGGGTGGATGTAGAGAAATAATTTTTTTAGGATTAGGGTTTTGGGAATGTTTTGAAAAGATGGAGGAAGAAGAAGAAGAGAGGAAAGGAAGAAGAGAAGAAGAAATGGAGGGTAATAGAAGAGGAAGAAAGAAAAAGTAGAAAGAAGAAGAAGAAGGAAAGAAGAGGAAGAAGAAGAATGGATAAGTGAGGAAGACGAAGAAGAATAGTAAGAATGAGAGATTTTACCATGGAGAGCTTGTAGGGAGCTTTGAGTGGTGGCCGGCTGATTGGAGGCACAAGAGAGGGAGAAAGAGACGCGAGAGAGGGGCGTGAGCCTTGCGTGCATGAGCTTGATCATGAGGTGAGGGGATGGGGCCGGTTGGGAGAGTTATGAAGGGGTAAGGGTTTAAGTAGGGGATATTTTAGGATTTTTTTTTTAAATCTTTCTCCCCCCTCCCCCCTCTTTTATATTGCTATTAATAATAATACGAAACCAAATTTTTTTAATTAATTGTGTACTGGCTCGATCATTATGTCGTCGTTGCCGTTCGTGTACATCGCCGCCTCAATTTGTGCAAGCAAAATTTAAAATTTTCCCGATCGACGACCTCAATCAATATGAGCATCGATCTTAACTGTTTTCATTGCTCTAGACGCATCGACGCTTTTCGTTTTGCAAATGACAACCATTTCGGCGATTTTGGGTTTTCAGTTGACGCATGTCAAGTGAGTTTTGCGCGGTTTCGAGCTTTTTTGCTTTCGATGCTCACCTTACGCGATCAAATTAACTCTAACACTAGTATTGAGGTCAACAAACTAAAATAATTATTTGTTTCCTTTTGATACAAACTTGAAGAGACAAAATTAGCACAAATGATAATTTAATTAGAAATTATGAGAAAACATTGAGGTCATAAAATGCCACTCTTTGATTAAGATTCATGCCACATTTAGAAAATTCACATTGAAACAGATTTTGCCAAAAATCAATGATACTTGCAAAATCAATCACAAAAATATGTAAATAAAAAAGGAAAGAATTCACCAAATAAAAGATGTAGCCCCATGTGACTGTAAGGAGATGACTGATCCTAGAAGTTGGTAATCAATATTTGCATTGTATTTGAAGAACTTTTATACAACAAGTACACAAGTTTGAAAGAAAAGCATAAATTTCATTAAGCAATCAACTCTCTTTGCATAACTCATATGTCTTTATCTCTCCCCTTCAGAGCTATGGCCTTAGGTCTATGTGAGCTACTATAGATCAAGATAATTTTAGAAGACTTAAGAATCAACTAGGAATGATCCATGAAACTGCACTATGCCAACAAATCAACAATCAATATAGCTCACAGTCCAATTCAGTATGGCAAGACCAAGCACATAGAAGTAGACAAATATTTTATGAAAGAGAAATTTGACAGTGGACTTATTTATATTTATCATGTAAGATCAGCTTGCAAACATTCTTACCAAGGACTTGATAATTCAACCTTTCTGAGATTAATTATCAAGCTGTGAATGACATATATGTTTTCCTTAACTTGAGGGGTAGTGTCAAATCCCATCCTAGCCATCGCAGTCGTCCCTTCCCTCTTGATCCTATGGACAGCATGGTGATACATGGCGGTCCCTTCCCTCTTGATCCTATGGCCAGCATGGGGATCCGTGGGAGGCTCACCTGGATCACGCCAATCTCCTTCTTCCATATTTGGGTGGCTGATTTAGGAAGGATTATATTAGTGCAATTATGCATCATTCTGTAAGTATTTGTTTCCTTATTAATATATCTTGTATAGATTTATAAATTGGGATAATTTTGTGCAATAAAGATTAAGCCCTTTTTTCCCTCTCCAATTCTTTGAATTTAATAGCATATGAGTGTGATAGAGATGAAATATGCAAGAGTAGTTAGTGGGCGATCCTCAAAGATAGCACACAAGCGAGATGGGGGCAATGCAAATAAGTCATAGGTTGACCTTTAGTTTAAAGAAACAAAACCCGTGTTCCTGGCAATTCCCAAGACGCAAATATAGTTGTTTGAACTTTGAACTTGATTTGGGAGCAGCAAGTTGCGCTAAATTATTTAATTTCTTCCAATATTCACATTATTTTCACAACAGATCATCAAACGTCAACTTTGTCTTGAAGAGTAGAAGCATGAAAATAATAACAGGAAACTATTACTAACAACAAAAATGACTAGTAATACGGAACAGGTTTGAACTTCCCGTTAAACTAGTATCTCGGCAACGAATAAGGCCAAAATACTTCAAACAAAATAAACAAAAAGTAATTCTAAAAACTATGTAAGAAGTTTCAACAGAAGATTAACCTGAATGACCACTTCTTTTCCTCAAAAAATTTCTGTATGCCATCAACCCATTGAGCCCATTTCTTACCAACATATTCCTTCCTAGAAGCCCTTTGAGATGAAGCTGTACGCTGCAGTGATGGAAAGCGATAAAGAATATTTCCCTGCAGAGGATAAAAAAGATCTTCAATCACTTATAGTAATAAGGCCTGTCATATGCACCCATTCACAACAGCTAAATTCTCAAAGAGCATTTTTCTTAATGCTTCTAAGGAAAGGTCTTATAAACATAAACTTATAAAAGGGGCTAATAGCCCCTTTGACAGATGACACCAGAAATCTCCACCTAAAGAGGAGATTCTGAAGTCGCTAATTATACAAGTACTTCTCTCATACATTTTTGTCTCAATTAAATTTTCTAATTTCATATTATTCAGGTCAATGGTTTTAGCTCAATTTTCTGTATTTTATAAGTCATGCGTTTTTATGAAATTAAGTATACTTTATTCAATTTATGAGCTTTTAACTCACACCAATAGTCCTTAAATTTCTTCTTCCCTCAATCTTAGCCTTAGCTACTTTCAGCAATCTTAGCCATAGCTACTAACATCCTCTAGCCATGGATCATCCCTAGCCGTCAAACATGTTCATTGTACTCTCCATTTTCAGTTATCAGAGAGAGCCTTTAGTAACCATATTTTCTTCTTCCTCTCTTGGTTCTTTATTTAAATTTCATTGATTTATTGAGTTCAAAAGTGGCCTTGCTTTCTTCACTCTCATTGCAATCATCTTATCATTCTCTTTTATACGTCCCAGAAATTCCACTGTTAAGCCATTTCCTTCGTTGACTCTTAGTTGCTTGAGCCGTCTCTCCTACTCACCATTTTATTAGGTAAGACAAGTTATAAAATTTCTTGTAAATGATGTGATCTAGGGATCCAATAATTAAAAAAATAGTCAATCTGACAGTCTAGTTCTAGTAATTGATGTTGGTTCGGCCAATAAGTTCGTAGACTAGCAAGAAGGTGATTTAGTCTTTAGACTTATTGAACCATTAAACATGCACATCAATTTGTTGAGAATTTATCTAGAATTAATGCATCTTTAACAAAGCTGAATAAAAGGTTTTTTAAATTTGAGTGGTTCAATTTATTAGGTATGAAGAGTTATAAAATTTCTCGTAAATGATGTGATCTAGGGGTCCAATAATTAAGAAAATGGTCAATCTGATAATCTATTTCTTGTAAATGATGCTAGTTCGGTCAATAAGTTGGTAGACTAACAAGAAGGTGGTTTGGTCTTTAGACTTATTAAACCATTAAACATGCACATCAATTTGTTGATAATTTCTCTAACATTAATGCATCTTTAACAAGGCTGACTAATAAGTTTTTTAAATTTGAGTGGTTCAATTTATTAGGTATAAAGCCTTATAAAATTTCTTGTAAATAATATGATCTAGGGATTCAATAATTAAGAAAATGGTCAATTTGACGGTCTATTTCTTGTAAATGATGCTAGTTCGGCCAATAAGTTGGTAGACTAGCAAAAAGGTGGTTTGTTCTCTAGACTTGTTGAACCATTAAACATGCTCATGAATTTGTTGAGATTTTCTCTAACATTAATGCATCTTTGACAAAGCTGACTAATAAGTTTTTTAAATTTGAGTGGTTTAATTTATGTGATCAAAGTCTTTAGAAACTCATGAATTGCTTAGCATTAGCTCCAATTTGCACCATTCCTTCAAGCACTGTCACATTTCAAATCTAAAATGATTTCTCAAACCAAGGTATGGGTAATGTACAAAAACAACATAGCAAAGAGGTGGTTAATGCCTCCATATAGCTCAAGGTGCATGAGAGGGATTATTTTACTCATGATTTGCTGTTGGGCTTAAACATTTTTTTCTTTGAAGATATGAAATACTATATTTAAGGAGTTAAATGTGATATTTTCACACACCATATGAACTTGAAGTATATTTTAACTCTGGAGTTGAATATGAGCTCTACCAATTATAAGTTGATGGACTTTTATTTACAAATTCAGTACTACCCAGTTAAGACTAATGTGATTGTAAATACTTGGAGCAAAAAATCTACAACTCATATAAGATAGTTGGTGCACGAGATAGATTGACTTCAACTTGGGATAATACCTTAAAAAGGAAAAAAATTATCACATCTCATATGTTTGCTCAACCAACAATACAAATAAGATTCATATAGCTCCAGCATAAGTTGATAAATTGATGCAACTTTAAACCAAGCTAAACAAGGGGTTGAAACTCAAGTTTGTTATCAATCATGCAGGTACATTAAGATTTGAAAATCGATCACTATCTGTTCTAAATTAAGACTTCGACAGGAGCCACTTGAGATGCACATACCACTTTATATTGTATTCACTCGGGGAGCACTAAAATGTATCAACATGTCAATGAGCTTTTCTAGTGGCCTAGAAAGAAGAAGTATACGGCAAATTTCATACCGAGTGTTTCAACCATCAAATGGTTAAGGATAAAAATCACAAGCCAATCGGAGTGTTACAACCTCTTTCTATTTTAAAGTAAAAAATGAGAGAAGATAGCAACAAATTTTGTAGTTAGCTTATCTGGGTATATGCAAGGTTATGATACAATTAGGGAAATGATTAATAGAACCACAAAGGCAGCTTAATATGTACATATCAAGAAGATTTAGTCAATAGACAAGCTGACAAGAATCTATAAGAATAATATTATTAGAATGCATGAGATACTAATCATCATTGTACCTAATCGGGATAGTAGATTTACTACTACGATATATAAAAAGTTTTAGAGGCTTTGGCATGATATTACATTAACAAAATATTTCATTCTAAAATAAATAGGAAGTCAGAGCTCGTGTAAGATTTCTTGAGAGCATTTAGCTACGAGGAATACATTTTAGGTGTGAAGTTCATCTCTAATAATAATTTTCAAACTAGCATCAGCAATTCTGTATGGAAAGAAATATATATCCAATTTATGTTGATTAGAGATTGGTGGAAGAAAATTCCTAGAACTTCAATTATTGGAGAGGCTACTAAGTTCATTTGATTTGGAAATGTCTAAGTTCAGCTCAAGAGCAACATAATAAATATTTTCACTTCACCCTAAGCACAGGATGATTGAGTTTGAGATTGGGATCATATACTTCACAAGGTTTTTCCATGTGTGAGTTACTAGATTCAGTAAGAGTGAATCTTCAACTTTATTCAATCAATCTTTTAAGATGATTGCGAGAATAGGGAAGTTTCATACCAATTGGCTCTTTTTCCTAAACTCGCAATAGTGTTGTTGCATGTCAGAACATTCGCAGCGGTAAAGAAATGGAGTGTTTAACGTCATAGCTTTATACAAAGATCTAGCACACACAGAGATAAAAGAGATGGGTGCGAAGCCATATAATACACCATAATTTTAACGTAGAAAACCTTAAAAAAGGAAAAAATCACGGGTCCTCGCCCAATTGAGTGGTTGGTGGGATTGTATTCAGGAGAAGGTCGTCGGAGGTACTATTCTTAGGCGACAGTGTTCCGATGGGGGATGCGTTGATACAATGTAGCAAATATACATCATATAAAGCACATTACAAGGTTAGAGCCGGAAGAATCTAGTGGTATGAGACATATTCTCAAGAGAAAATTGGTAGGTTTGTTTGGTCAGTAGAACCGTGATCGGCTGGCGATGGAGGTCAGAGGGACCGTAGTCGAGTGACAGAAGTTGGAAGGAGCGTGGTCGAGCGATGAAGGTCAGGACCATAGTCGGGCGATTGAGGTTGAAGGGACCGTTGTCAGGCGACGTAGATTGGAGGGATTGGAAGGACCATGGTCAGCATGAGACAAAGGTTGGAGGGACCATAGTCGGGCAAATGTGGTCGGAGGGACTGTAATTGTGTGATGGTAGTATGAGGGTCATAGTTGGGCGATGATTGTCAAAGGATTGTAGTTGGGCGATGGTGGTTAAAGGGACTATAGTCAAATGATAGTAGCACAAGGATCGTATTCAGCAGATGACGGTAGTCGAGAGGGACCATAGTCAGCAATCGACAAAGGTCGTAGGGACCGTAGTCAACGGTCAACAGAGGTCGTAAGGATTGCAGTCAGCGGGTGACGAAGGTCGTAGGGACCGCAGTCGATGAGCGATGAAGGTCAGAAGGACCGTAGTCGGGCGACTAAGGTCCAAGGACTGAATTCGGGCGACTGTGATCTGAGGGGATGTAGTCATGCAACGGTGGTCGGAGGGACCTTAGTTGGTAAGCGACGCCATAGCTGACGGGCAATTGTAGTCAAAAGGACCATAGTATGGTGACTTAGGACGAAGGACCGTAATTGGGAAATTGTGATCAGAAGGGCAATCAAATGATGTTGGTTGAAAGGATCATAGTCGGCAGGCGCGATGAAGGTAGGAAGGACTGTAGTCGGGCAACGGAGGATGAAAGATCGTAAATGTGTGTTAGTGTTCGGAAGGGTAGTAGTCGGGCGAGTAAGGACGAAAGAATAGTAGTTGGGAGACTAAGGTCGGAAGGACAGTAGTCGGGCGACTGAGGTTGAATGACCGTAGTCGAGCGATTGTGATCTAGGGGACCGCAGTCTGGCGAGGGCAGTCGAATGCACCGTGGTCAGCAGTCGACAAAAGTCAGAAGGACCATAGTTAGTGGGTGACTGAGGTAGGAAGGACCGTAGTCTGGCGACTGAGGTTTAAAGACCGTAGTCGACAGGCGACAAAGGTCAAAAGGATCGTAGTTGGGCGACTAAGGTCAAAGGGTTATAGTCAGGCGACTAAGGTCGAAGGAACGTGGTTGGGAGACTGAGATCAAAGGACTGTAGTAGGGCAATGGTGGTTAGAGGGATCGTCATGCGTGGGCAACGAAGGTCGGAAGGACCGTAATGGGGAAATAGTGGTTGGTGGGATTGTATACGGGCGATGGTCGCAATAGTGGTTGGTGGGATTGTATTCAGGAGAAGGTCGTCGGAGGTACTATTCTTAGGCGACAGTGTTCCGATGGGGGTTGCGTTGATACAATGTAGCAAATATACATCATATAAAGCACATTACAAGGTTAGAGTTGGAAGAATCTAGTGGTATGAGACATATTCTCAAGAGAACATTGGTCTGTTTGTTTGGTCAGTAGAATCGTGGTCGGCTGGCGATGGAGGTCAGAGGGACCGTAGTCGAGTGACAGAAGTTGGAAGGAGCGTGGTCGGGCAATGAGGGTCAGGACCGTAGTCGGGCAATTGAGGTTGAAAGGACCATTGTCAGGCGACGTAGATTGGAAGGATTGGAAGGACCGTGGTCAACAGGAGACAAAGGTTGGAGGGACCATAGTCGGGCAAATTGGGTCGGAGGGACTGTAATTGTGTGATGGTAGTCTGAGGGTCATAGTTGGACAATGATGGTCAAAGGATTGTAGTTGGGCGACGATGGTTAAAGACACTATAGTCAAACGATAGTGGCACAATGATCATAGTCATCAAGTGACGGTAGTCGAGAGGGACCGTAGTCAGCAATTGACAAAGGTCGTAGGGACCGAAGTCAACGGTCAACAGAGGTCGTAGGGATTGCAGTCAGCGGGTGACGGAGGTCGTAGGGACCGCAGTCGATGAGCGACGAAGGTCAGAAGGACCATAGACCATAGTAAGGCGACTAAGGTCCAAGGACTAAATTCGGGCGACTGTGATCTGAGGGGATGTAGTCATGCAACGGTGGTCGAAGGGACCTTAGTTGGTAAGCAACGGAGGTCAAAAGCGCCATAGCCGACGAGCAATTGTAGTCAAAAGGACCATAGTCGGGTGACTTAGGACGAAGGACCGTAATTGGGCAATTGTGATCAGAAGGGCAATCAAATGATGTTGGTTGAAAGGATCATAGTCGGCAGGCCCGATGAAGGTAGGAAGGACTGTAGTCGTGCAACGGAGGATGAAAGATCGTAAACGTGTGTTAGTGGTCGGAAGGGTAGTAGTAAGGAGAGTAAGGATGAAAGAATAGTTGTTGGGCGACTAAGGTCGGAAGGACAGTAGTCGGGCGACTGAGGTTGAAGGATCGTAGTCGAGCGATTGTGATCTAGGGGACCGTGGTATGGCGAGGGCAGTCGAAGGGACTGTGGTCAGCAGTCGACAAAATTCAAAAGGATCATAGCTAGTGGCTGACGGAGGTAGGAAGGACCGTAGACTGGCGACTGAGATTTAAAGATCGTAGTCGGGTGGCCATCGTAAGAAGGATAGTAGTTAACTGGCGACAAAGGTCAAAAGGACCGTAGTTGGGCGACTAAGGTCAAAGGGTTGTAGTCAGGCGACTAAGGTCGAAGGAACGTGGTTGGGAGATTGAGATCAAAGGACTGTAGTAGGGCAATGGTGGTTAGAGGGATCGTAGTGCGTGGACGACGAAGGTCGGAAGGACCGTAATGGGGCAATAGTGGTTGGTGGGATTGTATTCGGGCGACGGTCGCAATAGTGGTTGGTGGGATTGTATTCGGGAGATGGTCGTCGGAGGTACTATTCTTAAGCGACAGTGTTCGAGGGACTGTGGTCAACGGGCGACTGTGTTCTGAGAACCATAGTCAGCAAGCAACTAAGGTTGGAAGGAACGTGGTCGGGAGACGAACCTGCAACAGTGGCCGGGTTGAGCCACGACGACGGTGGAAAGGTGGACGTTCAACGATAATTGACTAATAAAAGTCCAGTGATGGCGAGAGTTTGCCGGCAGTGGTGCTCCAATGGAGCTCCGAGATTCTTCAAGCTTTAATGCTCTTCTTTTGAATCTATAGCCCAAGGTCTAAGCCTCATCCAAAAGTCCCCTTCGTGTAGATATTAAGGGTCTATTTAAAATTTTTTAGAAGTGGCATGCCCTGTAATTATGTAGAAGATCTGGCGCAATTTCAGAGTGCTCCATCGAACGGCCCATATTGATCCCCTCGATCATAGAGCATTCATTCAATATTTAAATGCCTTTATAATGTCAAAATTAAGCAATGTTGGGCTTGTTGGATTCGTCTCGTCAAGCCGCTCGATTCAACCATAAGCATGCCATATTTAAAGATCATTTGATTGTCAATTAGAGTCTTGAAGCTTTCAGATATGCTTTAGGCCACTAATTTGGGCCCATTTGGGCTCGAATTAGACCAATTTTGATATTATTGGGTTTGTCTTATCAAGACATTCAGTTTGACTATAAGTTTGTTGAGACCGGAGTTCAAATGATCCCGAATTTAATTTTGAAAGTTTTCAATTGAGATATGCCTAGAGATTCATGCCGGATCAAGCCGAATTGTTGTGACGTATCAAGTGTATATCCTTCACTTCTCTTCATTAAAATGCCATATGCATGATAACTCTTATAATATTTAGCATGACCCATTACTTATTCAACATGATACTAAAGAAGAAGCAAATGAATACCTAAAAAGATATTCCATTGGCATAAGGTACAAATTTATGGATCAAAGTTTTTTAACGAGGGTTTAATGTAACAATAAATAAATAACATTAAATCCCCACTTGAACTAAATAAACCATTAAAACAGCCTATTGTCACCTTTGCCCCAATATTATTGGACTAGTTTTTTTAGTTTATTTGATCGTGATATAAGATAGATCTACTTGATATTTTCGGCATGCGTTTATATTTTTACCACAAATCATAAGCCAACATTGAGTCTTTGCCTCCTAGCTACAAACCAAGATCACAAAAGCTTCTCTCCCTTCTCAGTTCATGTGTCATGAGCTCTCTCCCTCTTCTTCTTCTTCATCTTTGTTCCCAATCAAAAAGAGCTATTGTCATAGGTCTTCATCTTCGATACCATCCTATGTTCCTTATTGAGTGTGACTCTTCTTCTTCCCTCAATCTAAGACACATCTGCCAACATCCTCCAACCATTTTTCTATCTCAACAACCACAAATACACATTATGATCGCTATTGTGAATCATCAGGTAACCTTCCATAACCCTATTCTTATCTTCCACTCTTGCTTCCTTATTTCAATTTCATAAATTTATTGAAATCATAAGCTTCCTTGCGCCCTTTAAACTCAATGTTATCATCTTATCACTTTGATTTGTTCCTAGTAGACTCTCAAGCTTTACCTTCATTGTCTCTTACTGCTCTAACCTTCTTTCCCTCTCACCTGCTTGTTATATAAGTGAAAAAATTTCTAGTAAATGATAATTCATGATTCAATTAAGATTATTTTTGGATAGATGATGTTGTTTAATTCTGGTAATGGCTTTAATTATCAACTATAGTTGTAATGGTGGTGTTAGATCAATTATGAGTAATATCAATTTATGATTTGCAATTTTGAATTTTTTATTCAATTTAAAGAGCAATTTAGGTTGATATTGGGATTACAATAGCTACTATTTAAGCCTATTGAGTTTGTCCACATTTAGTGTTGTTCTTTTAAATCTCAGTAAATATTGGACCCTCACTATTTTCTCAATATTTATTTTTGAATATCCTGTACATCAATTTGTATCGGTAAAATAGCACTTTAGCTAAGATATTGTAGCTAACCAAATGAGGTTTTAAATTTCCAAAGCAAAAAATAAAGAATGACAAAATCAATTCCCTTGAATCAAACATGATATGATATTTTGATAACAAACCTCATCATCCACTTCGGGGTGTCCATCAAAACGTAATAGAACTGGTAAGATATATGAATCATCATCCTGCTTCAACATTGAGAAAATAAAATTGGTTAATTGGAAAATTGCAAACATTCAAATTTTTGTTAGAAGCATAACCAACACCTTGCAGAAGGATGCAGATTAAAGCTGTTAAACCAACGCCAAAGATATAAAAAAAAAAAATGCATGCAGCAAAAAAAAAACATGCAAGCAACTTGGAAAGAAAGTCAGTCCGGTTAAGCAATGTATGCTATGAACATATGTAAAAGAATATGGAGAATGCCATGATTCATGCTATGAATAAAGATACATAATAAAATATCACTTGTATCCTAATTGAGTGCGGAAAACTAAGATCGTTAACATTAAGGTTGGGTAAAATCAGGAAAAAGAAAAAAAAAAGAATGAAATTAACAACTATTATGCATATAGAATGGAACATAGAAGATGCATTAAATATGGTCGATACATAGGATTAATAAGAAAGGATTCGGGAAAGAAGGCATAGACCAAAGGTAACATTGTCAAAAATTGCGCAAAAGACTTGCATAAAAGATAGTACCTTATGTAGCACTTGATAGAGTGAATGAAGATGCATTTCCAAAGCTAACCCCAAATTAAGTCCCCAATGATGATGCACAAAGAAGTGAAATCAATCAAAAGTTATAATATTTATCTATTTTCACAAACACTATAAATTTTATAAAATTGTCCAATTTAAACACCCCATGTATCACATTATGTAGCATATAATATAGTGAATGAAGATGAGTTTTCAAAGCTAACCCCAAATTAAGTCCCCAATGAAGATGCACAAAGAATTCAAATCAATTGAAAGTTATAGCATTTATCTATTTCCACCAATACTATAAAGTTTATAAAATTATCTACTATAAACAACAACCCCCCCCCCCCCCACCCCCCAAAAAAATTAAAAAATTCATAAATAGGAAGAACTCAATTAGAGAAGGAAAAAAAATGTTCAAATAATCCCCCTATTATTCATACACATCACCTTTCTCCAATTTAATCCCTTGATAATACAAAATTGATCCTAAATAATCCTCATGTACTAAATTGGATCAATTTTATATAGTTGAAAGTGTACAAGTTAATAGAGCAAAATAGCATTCGTCATGACACATGGCGCTGCACGTCGTACCCTCTACACCATTTTCATGGCATGAACGAAGGGTTTAAAATAGTGTACGTGATTTGCGCTGTGTGCATGCAAAGCATATAACACATAGCCCTCATAATGCTAACTACTTTAATTTTGATAATTTAGTATGATAGATTTAAGATTAAGTTTTTTTTCTAATAGTTTCCACACACACTGAACCCTTACCCCGTTAATTAAAATAGAATCTCACACCCATGCACAACATCGCCTCACTCGGCTCGTTAGGCTAGGGCATCATCTCATTAAGACGATCTCGACCACGCATGCACTCCTCAGATCTCATCTTGGCCACATGGTCTCAACCAAGAACGCACAGTTGTTGCACAATCAAAGGCGTATAGCTACCACTTGATATTGATCCCAGTCAATAAGGGCATCACGCACAGCAAGTCGCCTTATCTTCATCACACATTCGCAGACCGTGTCTTCCTTGCGCAATAGGCCACATGCCTCATCTTCCTCTCATAACAGTCGCATGTCGAATCTTCTTCAATGAATATATCATTTCTCGCAATTAACATTGACTTCGCTATTTTCAATTGTATTTTGTTATTCAAAAATTTCCAGTGTACACTAATTATTATTAGTTACTCTATCATTATTAGATATTCAAAAAATGTCGAATTTAGTTCAAAGTGCACTTAAACTTAAGTGGTTGAGGTGTTAATCACTTGAAATTAAGTATTATATTTGATGCTTTTATTATAATAATGGTTTATTTTTTTAATTTAATAACGTTTCATATTTATCTGCATTTTGATTCATAATTTTTTATTTGTGTCATGTTCAAAATGGTGCAAACCGGACCGTGGGTAATGCACTATGGCTCCAGGGAGACCTTTGCGTTATAATACAATATTCGTCGTTAACAAATATAGTCCAAGGGCTAAATTGGGATCCATTTTGTATCCCAATTTCCATCAATTTCTATATTAGGGACTATTTGGGATCAATTTAGCATAGTTAAAGGACTAAATTGGAGAAACGTGATACTCTGGGAGAAAATTGATGGCATGTAACTAGCTGGAAACTATTTTTGTGATGAGGACATCAGCAGGAGATTTTGATGCATGTATTAGAGGAGAAATTGGAGATCGACGGCCACGATCGGGAGCCTTTATTTGTGATGTATTTTATGTATTGTTTATTTTAAATTTCAGTTCATGTTATACCCCTGAGGGCACTTTAGTCCTTTTCTTTTGTCACGTTAAGGCCTATATATAAGGACAACCACTATTGTATTTGGATGATGGTTGATGAATAAAAATTCTAGCTTTTGTCTTCTTCAATGTTGTGAGCTTTGAGAGAAGAAAGAGGCCCTTGGTGAGGGTGATTGCAATATCCGTCAGTCTTTGGAAGAGTCCAAAGCTCACGGCTTACCTCTACCTTCTTTCCCTACTTCCACCGTCGGCCACCCTTCATAATCCACCCAAAACGCCGTCCTTGCCCTTTTCCCCTCCCCTTCCCTCAACCTTCCACAATCAGCCCCTTCCCCACCCACCTATCGCCGGCCTCCCAAGGCCATCTTAGCCGCCGGCAAAGTAGTCCCCACAAAGTCTAACTTCAAATTCAATTTCCCTCTTAATCAACTTCATAAATAGCCTATTATTGATTAGGAAAGATTCTTAGTTGAATTCAAATAAATATTTGAATTTCAAACTCTTTCATCATTGATAAATCTAATTTAGGATATCCCCTTAATTAAATTAAATCTGAAATTAAATCTTAGATTTGATTTCAATCACCAATTAAAGTCAAGGGCCCACATACATCGAACCTAGACACCCTCTCTCCTCATATGGCCGGCCCTCCCCCTTTTGCCTTTTCTCTCTCCAATTTAATCCTTAACCCCAATTAAAATCTCCATAAATCCCTCTTAAGCCGACAACCCCTCTAGCCCTATTTTGGGATAATTTTGAGATCAAATTATTCCCTTCCCTCCCTTGTGAAAATTTGAAATTCAATTCATATTTTCTAACTTATTTCCTTCCCACTCCCTAGCCCAAAGTCCAAAAATCCTCCTAGCCCTAACCGTCCCCTCCCCTACTTGAATCCTCTT